AGTGGTTTGGCTATGTGACTACATCCACGGAGTAAGAGCAATAATCTTTCACTATAACAATAATGAGCGCAACGACTAATATCGCTAAGTCTCTAGTATTAAGACTGAAAAAAAAACCTGTCATAATAGGAAATATTATACTATTATCTCTTTTCTTTTCTCTTGCACACTCTGCCCTCACAGAATTCTATTACTCTAACTTTTTAAGAGGTATACAACTTATTGTTTGCTCCTCTTAAGAAACTAGTGCAATATCCCCTTGAAAATTTGAAATAATAATTCCAATTAGAATCTGGTTATAAATCCTTCTCCACTAAAAAACTTCAATTGGAAAAACAATTTTAGTTAGGAAAATAATTTAATCCTCTAAGACTGTAATTTCTAATAAACATTTGTTTTTATTCACTTTCTTAGATGCTTGCTAATGACTACGCATGTGAGAGAAAGAGGAGAAATCTGTTTTTTTATGCAACCAAAATTTAATTTCAGTAACATACATCATCAAATAAATATTTTTCACATGTTTAAATAAATTTAGTCTGATTGTCACGTAACGAATTAATAATATAAGAGAATCTCTTCAAAAGTAGAGGAGAAGGGGTTTAGACCATCGATCATAAGTAGCTATTAGTACCAAAACTCCAAAAATCAGTGCTTAATTTCATTGGGAAAAATAGAGGACCAATAATGTAAGAACCATCTTGTTAGAGATCCATCATGTCTATAACAATTGTTGTATGTGCATAAGCAATCCTCTCGTAAAGGTTTCATTAATCGAGGAGTTGTGATGAATTAGATAATCTATAAACTGAGTTGCACACGATTAATGATTTAGATTCCATCCGGATCTAAATTGTGAGGATAGATGGTACATATCCATCATATATCAGATGGGCTAGATGGTCCATAACCTCCCTCCCTCCCTCTAAACTTTTATTGAACATAATAAAACCCTACAATAATGGATATGGGTCATATAGTGGATACAGTATAGATCTGTATGGCACACATTTATTTTGTTACTTAAAAGAACATGTATTGGGTTAGAGCTTTTCAATCTCACAACCAAAAGAGGAGGTGGAGTTAATATAGCTGTCACGCATGCAGTCGTAAGCCTGTAACTATTCCATGGTGTTCATGGTCCGCTTGTCTGCCCCTTCCCCATGCAAACTCGCCATTACGCTTCCTCTCTATCCTCACTCTCGAAATCAGCTCATTCACTTCTCCCCCATTTTCTTTCCTTACCTCAAACCTCTCTCTCTCTCAAAACTCTTCCATAAGTAGCAATTAGTACCAGAACTCCAAAAACCAGTGCTTAATTTCATTGGGAAAAATAGGGGACCAATAATGTAAGAACCATCTAGTCAAAGATCCATCATGTCTATAACAATTGTTGTGTGTGCACAAGCGATCCTCTCGTAAAGGTTTCATTAATCGAGGATTTGTGATGAATCAGATGGTCCATATACTGAGTTGAACAAGATTAATATATTAATTCAATTTAAAGAGTGATTTTATGGTAATTAACAATTTCTCCATTTGATGTCACTCCCTTTTACTTGCTCCTTCTTATAGCTAAGTATCACATGTGTATCTATTAATTATTTTTCCCTTTTCATGGTGTTCATGGCCCCAGAATTCAACCCCCCATTCCTGTTCGATCTGTGCCTATGCTACATCCTCCATCCCATACTGGGTCGTTCTCCATCGTATATATTAATTATTTTCATTGTACAATCATCTGATTGATTATTTTCTTTCCCCATTCAAGGTGTTCATGGCCCCAGAAATAATTACCCGCCAGCCTCTCGAATCCCATTTTTTCATCGACATGTAGGGTGAATTCCGAGATTTCTTATTCAGGTTTTAAAGTGGGAGATGAAGGAGAATGGGCACAGCCCCACCAGCAGTTCTTGTTTTCGACCCGAAAAGAATTTAAAATTAAACAAGAATCTGTGTTCGTTATCTATGGAGTGGAGTGACTATCAACAGGTTTGGAAGGAACTCTGTAATGATAGAGAGGATTGTCTGTCCTCCTGCGTCCTCATGTTTGTGTGGTCACAGTTAAACCACGTCAATATTTTATGTTACTATTCATTTTTGTCTTATTATCTCTATAAAAAAAACAATATAAAATGTTGATGTGGTTTAACCGTGACCACACAAAACAGGAGGGCATGGAAGAGCACCGGAAGTAGAAGGGCAAACAATCCTTGTCCGTCAACAAATGCCAGCAAGAATCAAGGATGTTGATCTCTGTTTATGTTAGGAAATCAGCGTGAATAAGCAATAAACTTCAAGTTTTGCGCTTAATAACGACCTCCCCATTTAGGCCTCGGGAGAATCGGTGCTCAGGAAACAAGAATGCGAGAAGGTTATGGCTCGTTTGTAAATTACTTTTGCAGAACATAATTTTGCTCATAGACTTTTACTTATAAGCATTTTTGTTAGAATTGATTTTACTTGGATATTTAAAGTTCAAGTGTTTCTTCAAAAATCGTTTTTATGATCTAAAAACAATTTTAACTTTTCATCATAAGTATCAAAAGTGTTTTTAATCGTCCGAGATTATTTTTGTTAGCCATTCTAGAAGCAAACTCAGAAAGGCATTTTTTTTTTCAATTTGAACACAATTGTATTCTCGAAAGATGTAAGTTACGCTAGTTGGTTAGAGCAATGTGTGTCCGCTCTCTTGCCCTGTAAACATTAGCGACCCCTTTGTGATAGCTTGGAAAATGGAGCATTTCGGAGTACAACAAGAATGCCAAAAAAAAGTTAGCATTTGAGAAATTGGTTTCGGGTGAATCCGTATTGCGATCAGGCAGTCTCTATGCGCTTGTTCTTGCGGCTAAGAATGAATCATTGGCTAATCCCGCTGAAAACTACTTAGCTGGTGTCTGGGTGCGATGGTGGCGACGAGTGAAATTGACAGCCTTTAAATACAAAGGCAATAAGAACTAATATTTACCGATTTCATACTCGTTTTAAGTAAATAGTGTTGCTTTACTTGTCTCATCCTTTGTCAAAATAACAAAAAATTAATGGACAATATGAACAAAGGGTTATCTGCTATTTTGATTTACCTGCATTTGGTTTACGAATTCCTCTCATGGAATTCAAATCTTATACGTCTTTAAAAAGTTACAAACTATCGGATGACCCAACCCAAACTGCACCTATATTATGCACCCATTACAAAGATTTATACATTTGCCTTTACCAAAGAATAGAAACAAAGAATCTTTGGCATAAATATGTACCAATAAAATACCTCTGTTTAGTAGCACACATGTACCTAGGCAATGATTTAGCCTTTTGAGATCCATCTTGATACGTTGATATGGTATACAGGATGCCATCATCAAATAAATATTTATCACCTGTTTAAATAAATTTAGTCCGATTGACACAAAGTGAATTAATAATATAAGAGAATCTCTTGAAAAGTAGAGAAGGGGTTTAGATTCGAACATCGATCATAAGCAGCTATTAGTATCAACACTCCAAAAACCAGTGCTTAATTTCATTGGGAAAATAGAGGACCAACACACAAAATAATAATAATAATAATAATAATGCAAGAACCGTCTTGTCATATATCCATCATATCTATAACTATTATGGTGTGTGCACAAACGATCCTCTCGTAAAGATTTCATTAGTCGAGAATCTATGATGAATCAAATGGTCTATACACTTGAGTTGAACACAATTAATATATTAATTCAATTTTAAGAGTGTGATTTTATGGTAATTAACAATCTTCTCCTTTTCATGTGCACCCGCCCTCTTGCACAGTAGTTTGATACACTTCAACGGGAAACTTTGACACAGTTCATTTTTGACATGTTACAAAAGCAAAGTTCCTACAGTCGAAAATCGTTATCAGAATTTTGTGTTGTTGGGATCTTAAAGAAATGTATCGAAACAAACCAAGGCCTCCGCACAATATACACACATAGATCTGATATGGAACATTTTGAAATGCCAATAAGTAAATACTTTGGGCTGCATCCCTTGAAATTATGAAGTTTCCTTCAGCTTAACAGCTCGATTTTCTGTAGCGATTATATTGGCAGTTTAAGTAGGCAGAAGAACTCGGCTTTGAAGTAATTCAACAGAAGAAAGAGTGCGAGAAATTTCCAGATTCCCACATAAATTGGAGATTAACCTATGAAACTTGAACTTTACAAGCATAAGCACATAAGTGTACACATTGCCAAATGGACCAAACAGAAATTTCCTCTGGCAAGAACTTAACAAGTAAAGCATCAATTCAAAAGGGTAAAACCAACCTCTCCAGTTGAATCAAATCCTCCGAGATATCGAAATATCGCTTCTGCCGACAATGTACTTCTTAAACGCGCCGATTCTTGTAGCATCTTCATCATATCCGCCAACCCTTGTAATCGAACGCAACAAATAATTATCGTTAAACGGAACCAGTGAATTCACCTTTGATCTTGCTTCTTCCGGAGAGGTCTTGTTGCCGGTGAAGACCCCTTTGATCTTGTTCATCCATGAGTTATCCAGCTGCGTCGTGGAGGATATCGAACGGAATGACAGAGCTAGGCTGCGATCACCGAAATGGTAGCCGGAGAACGATGACGGCAAGTTGGATTTTTTATTGCACAATGCGGTGCTTATGATCCGTGAAGAGCGATGCATTCTTGAAAATGTTGCTCCTTTGGGTCTCTATTTCTCTTTGATTAGGATTTAGGGTTTTAGTCTGCATTTTTGGGGTTTTGGGAAACTGAGTTTCCAGATCATTTTTAGGTTGAAATAATGCTACATTTAACCGTGACTAGATTAAGATACCTTCAGAATAAAGTATGATTAGATTGACGTATCGTCACAATAAAAGCGTGATTACAATAAGGAACCACCACAATGACATAGCCGGTGTAGGTAGCCGGTGTAGGTAGGTCATTCTCGTGATTACAACATCGTCAGAGAAAATTTAAGTTGACAAGGAATCATGCAACTTATTAAGCAACTGCTGAAGGAAAAATGAATAGCTTATATAAATTCAAAGAAAGTGTTATCAAATTCTTAGAGGTTACAATTTTCCTATCCAAAAATACAAAACAGGCCTCAGCCTCCTGCACAAACGATCTGCCACTCTAACAAGTACAATCATAAATAGAAGGTCAAAAGACTTGACCTTCAGAGAATGGTGGCCAAAGTTATAAAACAAATACCACAAGAGCACCGCAGCCACGCATCGCTTCACATCCCGTATCTAAAGTAGGACGGAAGGCAGTGAAAAAATGAATAAATTCTGCAACTCTAAGCCTTTGTCCGCCTAAACTCGAACCAGATTTCATAGTGATTAAACAGCAAGCTGTCATGTGTATGCTTTCCGACATACTCCAGGCCTAAACTCGTGAGCCGCTTTGTACACTCGTCTCCTCCCAACCGCAAACAGAATTTGATATTATGGGAAACGAAGATTCGCCCGTCATAGGGTTTCAGTTTATTTGTCAATCTCTCTAATCCAACCCACACAAGCTTATCAGGCATATGAAGAAACACAGCGCTAGCATAGATCAAGTCATACACAACATTGGACCCAAATCTGCTGAAGTCCATGTTGTCACCTTTCACAATCAAAGGGCGCTTGTGCAGAAGACCTTGGGAAGGAAGCTCGTATCTGAAGGCAGCCATTAGCGAGAGCTCATCTCTTTCAAGACAGTGGAAGTGTCCGGGATTAAGATAGCGAATGAAATGCAAACCAACTCGGAGGGTACCACAACCGATCTCAAGGACATTGGAGTCAGGCTTCAGATGAGAGGACTGGGCGAGGAACTCAAAAACATCTCGCCCACCTGCCCAAGGCTCACCGTAGTTACTGTGGTGCTCCTCAGTCAAGAGCTCACCAGGGCATGGGAGGGCAGTATGATTTTCCGAATCAGGTCCTTCATAGTGAGATATACCCTTGAATCTGAAAATTCAGAAACTACTGGTCAATTCTTTGTACAAAATCATCCCTGTATTCACATAACATATAATTTCTGTTGTTTCGATTGACCCACAAACATGCGAATATGTTATAACTGCAGGCACATTAAAGCACAACGAGAGAGAAGAATTTCCCAAACAAGCATGAGAAAACTCTAACTAAACAATCATCATGTTACAAAGAAATGTCTATCGAAACAATAGGAATAGAACAAATCACTTCAAAGGATATGATCTAGTCTAAGTTCCATGTTCTATAAATGTAGGCAATGATCAAAACTTAATCCTTTCCTTTCTCTCCACCCTAATACATAAACCAAACAGAGCAACACAGAACTTGCCAAACTAGCATCGAAAAGATAAAGTGCAAAGAAAATGCAGAAACTTAAGCAACAAATTCGAGTTCACGTCCACATAACTAAACAAATCGAAGTTTACTGATGCGATCTCATGAAAATCGAAGTTTACTGATGTAATCTCAACTCCCCCACATCCTCACTTGGCACAAAAATCACATGAACTGGTACTCAAAATTAAAGTTGGCAGCTTTGAATCCAAAAATATAGTTCCCTAATTCACAATTGAATACCCAATTCCCAAAGCCCATGCCAAATTCAATTGATGTCCAAATTCACAATCCCACTGCACAAATCCACGTCCCCATTTCTAATCACACAAATGTGCACATCATATTATACAAGTACTTAGAGAGAGAGAGAGAGAGAGAGAGAGAGAGAGACTACTGACTGCAAGAGATCTTCAAGCTGCTGAGCTCTGGTGCGAGGGTTAATTCCCTTCCTCAACACGTTATCCTGCATATGCAACCCGTTCACTCGGATCTGATCCTTCACCCACTCCACATCCTCCTTCGATGACCATATCGTCTCTCCTCCTCCGCCCTCCGACACGCCGACACTGGGTCCACCGACATAACCCACATGCGCAATACCAGCACCGCCGCCGCAAGTGCACGGCGACGATAAAGAGGACAAGAGAAAGAAGAAGAAAACTGCGGCAACTGACGCCATGAGAACCAGCGCCGGCACCGTTATCACTATCCCCTTCGGCGACGACGAAGTTGACGGTGACGACCACAGAGCCATGTATATTCAATTTTACGCCGAAGTCTTCATACCTTCAAGTCTCTGAATTTTAGGTCTGCAGGAAGATTGGGATTGCGCGACATTGATTTGGGGAACGGCCTTAAGCCACGTCGTTTCAACTTTCAAGGGCCGCGAGGATTTTTATATTTTATTTTTTTTGCTTTTTTCTCCAGGGTTCATGTGATTGGTGGAGACTTGCGTCGCATGGAACATGGAGTGTGACAAATGACAGTATGCGGAAGCAATAATTCCATTTTCTTGTATTTAAAATATAGGCTAAATATCAATTTATTATCCTCAAATTTCGTAGTTTTTAAGATTTGATACATAAAATTTTTTTATTCCAGAATCATACCTAAAGTGTTAATTTTGGAACAGTCTCATACATCTGTTAGTCTGATTGTTAAGTCTTCCGTTAGATAATAACATGACACTTATATGGACGGTGTCACGTGTCATTAAAGGGTCCACATAGAAATTAAAAATTCAAAAAAAAAAAAGAAAAAAAACCTAAAACCTACTTGTCTTCTACCTCCCCCCATCCCTTCTTTAATCTGCAACCCCTACCCTTACCCCCTCCCCGACGCACCTTCTCCCTTCCTCTTCCCCCCGCACCCTCTCCCTCCCTTCTCTCTTTTGCAACACACACCCTTCCTTCCCTTCTCTCTTCTACAACTTGCACTAGCCTCCCTTCTCTCTTCCATCCTATTCTGCAATCCATCCGTCAAGGCAACGCCGACAAGTCTCCCTCTTATCGACTTGACCTTGGTTCCCTTTTCTTTTTAGGTAGTTATTGGGTTCTTTAGAAGTGGTTCTATTTGTTCCTGATCAAATATTTGAAATTCTCAACTATGTTTGGTTTTTGATCTTCTATCTCAATGCAGAGGGGGAAGGCAGATGAGGACGATGTGATGGAGAAATCGAGAGAGTTTGAAGAAAGGTTGAGGAAGGTCAAGGCGGAGCAAGCGGTGGCAGAGTTGGGGACGTTGGAAAGAGGGCCGAATCTAAGGAGGTGAGGAGAAGGTGACACTTGGATCCATGAGAGGTATATGGAGGAAACCCTTGCACCATTGCAGAAAATACCAGAAAAGGAACATGGGTTTTGGTTGGGGAAAAGAGAAGGGAAGGAGAGGGTGCGTGGGGATGAGGAAGGGAAAAGGTGCCCGGGGGTAGGGGTTGCAGGGTAAATAAGAGATGGGGGGAGGTAAAAGACAGGTAGGTTTTAGGCTTTTTTTATTTTATTTTAATAATTAATTAATTTTTAATTTCCACGTAGACCCCTTAATGACATGTGGCATCTATTCATTGTCCACATGGGTGCCACGTCATCAATTAACGGGAAACTTAACAGCCAAACTAATGGATGTATGAGACTGTCCAATTAACACTTTAGGTATAACTCTGGGAGAAAAAAAACTTCATGTACCAAATGTTGAAAACCACGAAACTTGAGTGTAGTAAACTGATATTTACCCTAAAAAATAATTAATTGAGAAAATGCATAGCAGTGGATAAAATAAAATTCACAGATAGGAATTTGTTTCTAAATTCAGGGTCCATCCTTTATGTTATGTAAAAAGGAAAATGATCCTCGCCAAATCATTTTTCTAGGGATCTTAGGGATCCCATGATCGTTCATCGTACATTATGCGATCAGAAATCATTTCAAAATTTTAAATTTTAAATTAAATACAAATAGTACCTAACGAAAAATTTCCGTAGGATATACGATGAACAATCATGATCACAGGATCTCTAGGATCATTTTCCATGTAAAAAGAGATTCCCCCCCCCCCCCCCACTTTCCAATATAGGGAACCTCTATATAGACTCTGAACAGATAATAAATTGTATCCAAATTACGTACTATTAGTTTTAGGCTTTTTAGTTAAAATGGTTCTTGTAATTATTTATTTTGGTCTCTGAAATTCAAAATTGACAGAAGTAGTCCCTAAGATTGTCATCATAATTATTTTGGTCATTCTGTGAAACATCTCTCTTAAATTGAAGAAACCACCCGTTTAAGTAAAGGGGTTGGTTTGACAAAAACAACCTCAATTTAACGGAGATTTTTCACGGAATGAGCAAAATGGTTGATAGTGGACAATTTCAGAGACCACTTCTATTGATTTTAATTTACAAGGAACAAAGTAAAGAATTATCCCAATCTTATGGATTATTTTGGCTAAAAAGCTTTTCTTTGACTTCTTTATCACTAACCCGAAGGCCATTTTTAGGTTGACCACTTTGGTGACTGAACTTGACGGCTGCACCATCATAGGCATTAGGATGTAGTTTCGTCTACCAATGATGGTTTTATGTGGAATCGCTTTTCTGCGATGACTTTATATGGATGAGCCACGATGACTTTATATGGCTTTGCTATTTCGGCGATACCTGTTAAAGTCGTTATCGTTTTGTTAATTAAAATGGGTTGTATTCGAATATATGGAAAAAAATGTTTTTATATCAGCAACAGAAACCCAAACTCATGGAATTGTTGATCTTGTAGCGACTAAATTAAAAAAACAAAACAAAAATTTCAGATGAATTAGTGATTTGAGATTTTATCTTCTTACCAAATTTAATATTCTATTCATTAATCTATTAATATAGAAATAAAATAATTCATAATCATCCGGTTAAGATCGAACTAAACCAGCCCATTATGTATATGATTCAAGGGAGCCTTTAAGGGAAGTGATTCCCATTTTTCAAAAAAAATGGTGATATCCTCTTAACCATTAGATTTGATTTTAATGAAATTATGTGGTTGAGATCTTGTGGCCTGTGATTTAATCTCAGTCACATAATTTCATTAAAGTCAAATCTAATGGTTAAGAGGGTGTCCTCATTTTTTTTTTTGAAAAATGGGGATCCCTTCCCTTAAAGGGTTTGTATGATTCAATATGCCAACTATTAAACAACTTATTAGAAACACAAGACATCCAATCAGAAATGTCACGAACTCCCCCACTATTGGGGGATGTCCTTAGCGATGAGGAACATGTACTAGGGTGTATGTGTGACTCATTCAGATCATGAGTTAGGACAAAAAAAAGAAGAAGAAAAACAATTGATCTAGTATCAACTATCCGTGATTAGACTAGACTAGACTAGAAGAACTCCATTCAATGTTTTTATTTTTGTAGTTGTTGTTTGTGTTGCAATCGATTGTATAGGCATGCTGAGGTTGATGATATCTCATATAATAAGGTTCAAAAACTTGTGTATTCATTTCCTTAGTAAAAAAATTATATATAATTTTTTTGTAGAAATTTTTTTTATTTACCTTAATTTTTTAAAAGGAAATTTACATGCTCATCAAAAAAAAAGAAGAAAAGGAAATTACATGAAGAGTTTTTATCACAAATAGTGTCTATAAATTGACATTATTTCTCACTTTAGTCCCTGAAATTGAAAATCAATCAATATCATCCCTGAAATTTGGTACTACAAATCAATGTTATCCCATTCCGTTTATTTTTCTGTTACTTTGATGAGGTGTCTGACAAGAGGACCCATACAACCAATGGTGTGGTGCCACATGGACTAACCTTTTTTTTAAAAAAAAAAGATTTAAAATCAAGGACACAACTATTAAAAAAAAAAAAAAAAAATTGCACACGACCAACCCAGCTTCTTCAATCAAAAAGAGATCTTCATTTATGGGTTGAAAAAAAAGAAAAAAAAGAAAAGAAAAAGAAGATGAAAATACTAACCCAGTTACCTGCCCAGCCACCTCCCTCATCTCCAACTATCATCTCCAACTATCATCTCCAACTATCATCTCCAATTCTCCATACCCTCTTCAAATTTAATTTCATGTTCTTCTCCAAAGCACCAAAGTCAAGGGGACGGGATGAGGAACGACTAGCAACGAGGTTATGGGATAGGTTCGGTTGGGCTTGGGGTGGGGGAGGTGACTCACAAACTCTCACTCTATTTCCTATAGATCCCTAATACGTGTTTTGATTTCATTTTTTGGATTTTGTTTTTCCCAAATCGAATTTGATTTTAATTTTCGGCAATCCATTTTGAGATGGAGGTATTAGGTTCATTTTTATTTTTGTTTATCTATCTTACCTTTTTTTTCAGTTTTGTTAATGAGTTTTTAAATCTTAAATCAAATTAAAAAACTGTTTTTTATGTTTAATTCATGTGGCACCACCACATCATTGGTCGTATGGGTCTCCATGTGTAACACGTCATCCAAGTAACTAAAAACTTAACGGAATGGGATAGTAAGAATGACATTGGTTTGTGGTACCAAATTTCAAAGACGACATTGATCGGTTTCAATTTTAAGGACCAAAATGAGAAGTGATGTCAATTTCAGGAATCATTTGTGATAAAAACCTTACATAAATATATGGAGTCCGAACCCATTACCATAACTAGAGTCCGAACCCGTTTCCACATCGTTGATGGGTCGTTTTGTGAGGAAATGAATCCTCTTCGGATCCCTTCTACCTAATCCTCCTCGTTAAACAATCTAAGTCCTTGAAATTTGATCCAACGACTAAAAATAGAGGTCCACTAAAAGTTATAATAACTTTAGCTGTTGGATTAAATTTCAAGGACCCAGATACTTTGATGAGGATGATTAAGTGGAAGGGATCCCGAGAGGATCCCTTTCCATTTTGTAATTCCACCACACCTCTGTATTCTCCCCAGTCGGGCCCACACTACGAGAAATTTTTAGTTGTGACAGGAACACAAGTAATACACCACGTGTTTTAATAGGAGTGGTAGGAAATTTTATTTTTTAAAATTATTAACTTTTTAGCACATATATCCTACAATTTATATAATGACACGTGATGTATCACACCTCATATACCGGTCACATTAAAAAATCTCTTCCACGAACCAATTGCCAGCGAAGCGAGTATCGGGCCACCCGCGCTCACCGGCGTGTGTAGCTAAAGTCCACGCCCATCATAAATTCATATACTCACGGGAAAGACGAAATTAACCTCGACTAGAACCCCAAAAAAACCGAGTCAAAGGACTCGCCCAAAATAAAATCGAAACCCACACCCAAAAATTTCCACTCTCTGAAATCGCAGCTCAGTGGAATAAGAAGAAGACGACGACGAGGAGCACAAAAGGGGAGCTTCCAATTTCTTCACTGATTGATAAGGTTAGGGTTTTCCACTTTGTTTAATTTCAATAATTTTCAATTTTCTAGTTTTAATTTTTTGTGGATAAAATCAACTGTTGTTTGCATTAATTTTAATTTTTCCATGGATTTTGAATGGTAATTAATTGAGTTGGTGATCTGAATGGTATATACGAAAATGATTAATGGGTTTTTGTGTTTCTTTGTCCTGGTTGTGTTTGTGGGGTCTCCATCTCGATGAGGTTCGGGTTAATTAGTAGACTTGGTGACCTGGTTAATCTGTTTTAGTCAATCTTTCGAGTTGATTATTGGTGCTTTGATGGAGTAATAGTTGGGAGTTTTTGGATAAATTGACGGGTTGCATGGAAATTCTGAGACGAATCGGAGTTGTATTGGGTTAGTCGAAATGGCGGTATGGAAAACTATTTAATAGAACATTTTGCAATTGCTCTGGATGGTCAGCAATTATTTTCGGAGTTTTTTTGTTGGTATACATGTGTTCTATAGTGTGTTTGGTCGATTATATAAAAACTGTGGGTTTTGGGCAGTCGGGGAGTTTGAGGTTCTGTGGGTTTTTGGTGCTGTGCGTCGTATAGGGGAAAGAAGTATCACCATTTCATCTGTTATCTTAAGAGCCAATGTTTTTGTTGGTGAATTAGTAGTAAAATGAGTCCCGGCGATATCACAACAGAAAGTGGGAAGAGGTTGGATTGTCAAATTTATTACATTTGAGATGTAAAAACCTTATGTACATACCAATTATATTGATTTGAAGGTTAGCAACTTTAATAGGTCTTAACTCTTAAGTGTCTAATTCATTTATTTTCATTACAGTTGTATTAGGTATTGACAAGTTCATAAAGTTATTCATCATAGGTTGAGAACTGATTACATGATAGAATATTCCTTAACATGTCGAGAAAGCATATCTATTGGATCATCTGTACTGGATATATCACCTTCGTTGTATTGAAAAACTGAAGTGGATAACTAAAACTGAAATGAAGTGTATCATTTATATTCGACAATGCCTTTTGTTCTACAACACTTGCTACGACCAAATATATTCTAAAATTACGGTCACTTTGTAGGAATTCTTTGTTTACATTTATTTGGTGATCAATGATTATTAATTTTTAATACTTGTCTTTGTAGTTGTTTATGCGATGCACCGAGTGGGTAGTTCAGGGAACACAAACAATTCCAGTCGCCCTCGTAAAGAGAAGAGATTAACATATGTGTTGAGTGATGCTGACGACACGAAGGTGAATTGATTCCATGTTTTTTTCCTGATTTCTGTTAATTGATTCCATGCTTTTTTCCTGATTTCTATTTTAAGTTCTGTAATTAAGTTTTTATTTGTTACAAAATATTTTATATTTTAATAAATATATATCTCACTTTTGGACTTAAAAAGCACAACATATATATGACTTTTGTTTTATCTGCATACGTTGCATGAAACTTTTTGCTAGTGTTAAATTATAGATGCTTAACCGTGTTTGGATGGTTTCTGTCTGCAGCATTGTGCCGGCATAAATTCTTTGTCTGTACTGAAGGCATCAGTGTCTGGGTGTGATTACCTGTTTACTGGAAGCCGTGATGGCACACTAAAAAGATGGGCGCTGGCTGAAGATGCTGCTACATGTTCAGCAACCTTTGAGTCTCATGTGGATTGGGTAACCATTTTCTTCCTATGTTTAAACCTAGTTTTGTTTATTTAAAACAAAACTTGCCATTTAAGGTGTGGAGATGTTTAAAATTTGAGATTTCTCCCTTTCTCATGAAAATTGCTGAGATTTACTTGCTCTTCAATTTTGGATGGATTTTTTATTTTTTTTTTCTTCTCGTTTTATTCTAGGATTCATACAACCGATAAGGCTTTGTTGTCGTCGTCGTCTTATTATAATGCAGGGGTGGGGAGTCAGATTATAGCTGAAACTTTCCATGTGGGATGTTTAAACTAGACCAATCAGCATACAAAATGTTAAAAGGGAAAATGAAATGAAAGAATGTGGGGCGCACAAAATACCTTGTGCTGGGCACAACATTAGACTGTTTTTTTTTAAATCAGCGTTGTGTTGTTTGTGCTTGGGTAGCTTCCAGACATGCACTTTTCATACGGTCCTTCTATTACTTTAAAGAAAAATGATATTTAATTTATATTTTACTTTCCTGTGCTTCATGCATAAGTTAAAAATTTATACTTAGAGAGTACTTCTGTTGTGCAGGTTAATGATGCTGTTCTTGCAGGTGATAATACGCTTGTTTCTTGTTCTTCAGATACCACCCTTAAGGTTCACTGGCCTAGATCTTTGTTTTGCTTTGTTTTAATTTTGTAACTTGTGTTTTCTTTTTGGATGTAACTGATTCATTTTTTTTATTCCAACTGTCAAATGGATACATCAGACGTGGAATTGTTTGTCAGGTGGAACTTGTACTAAAACTCTTCGTCAGCATTCTGACTATGTCACATGCCTTGCTTCCGCAGAGAAATATGTAATTTCCTCGTCAAATTTTCATCTGCCTTGTGAATGCATAGGTTCTTGTCATTGCACTCATTCTATATGAAGAGTTTCATGTTCAATTTGATAGTTCAAGTTGTGCTTGGTGGCATCATTGCATATTTTATGGATGACCTGAATCTGCTGACAGTTTAGATTGCATCTTTCTGCTTTCCCTTGAACTTCTTAAATCTGGAATAAGTTCCTACAAGTGTTTGGAGTGATGGGTAACATTTCCTAGGTAGTGATTTTCTGTGTCTGTGGAGGACTCTTTTAGGGATTCTGCTAAAGAGCAGATGATCACCCTTTGGTGATGTGTAGTCTTTGCATTTATTTGGCTTGTTTCGATGAAAAGAAACTAAAGATAAGAGGGGTGAGGTAGATGTCTTTGGAAGAGAAACAGTACTTGGCATCTTTGTGGGCCTGCATTGGCTAGGCATTTTAGGGACACTCTCTTCCTTTTGATTAATCTTGATTTCTTGGGACATATGTTCTAATTGTAATGTTTCTGCTGTTCTTGTATAGTTTATGCACTTAATATGGACGGACATCTTTTCCATATGTATTTGTATACTTTTATCTTGAATATGATATAGGAAAAGAAAATTTCTGATCCTTTTATAGTGTAACGCATTTTAGAGCAATATTGTTGCCTCTGGTGGACTTGGAGGGGAGGTATTTGTATGGGATCTTGAAGCAGCTCTTACTCCGGTTGCAAAGTCAGGTGAATCAATGGAAGATGATAGTTCAACTGTTGTCAATGGTTCTGGAAATGCAATTACTAGTTTACGTACTATCAGCTCTAGCAACAGCATTTCTATGCACACAACTCAGCCACATGGATATGTCCCAATCTCTGCCAAAGGTCATAAGGAATCAGTTTATGCATTGGCAATGAATGATAGTGGATCGCTTCTGGTCTCTGGTGGAACGGAAAAGGTATGTTTTGTTGTCTAGGGTTGGCTGTGTCCTAAATTTATTATTATTATCACGTAGACATGAAACTTTCTGAAAAATCTGCGGAAGTTTGGTTGGATATTTTTAATTTTCCTCTTCTAGTTAGTGTGTGAGGTTAACCAGACAGTGTTAATAACTATTAATTATATCCTGATGCCCTTTAGGTTGTTCGTGTTTGGGATCCAAGAACAGGTTCGAAGAAAATGAAACTAAGAGGGCATACAGATAATATCAGGGCTCTGCTGATTGATTCTACTGGAAGGTTGGTTGGGTAGATTTTTCACAGGCTGTCTTGATTGAGTACTTCAAACAGGATTTCTGTTAACTTTTGGGTCTGGATAGTTCAGTTTGTTGTATCTTTTATAGATGATACAGCAAATGTATTGAACAAGCAAGTCACAATCTTGATTTGATAATGAATGATTTATTCATCTTATTGGGTTGTTTTATGTGCTATATTCATACAATTTGCTTTGGTAACAGTCATTAATAGTTTGTTCTTTCTTTTAATTTCATACAGATTTTGCTTGTCAGGATCTTCTGATTCAATGATCAGGTTGGTATCCACATCTCTTCCAACGCAAACAATTAGCATTCTGTGCAAGTTGAAAGATATAATTGTTTATGTGATAGGAGGTTGGTACTTTATTGCGAATACAGTTCACCAAAGTCTTTCTGTTTTATAGGCTATGGGATCTTGGTCAGCAGCGATGTGTGCATTCTTATGCTGTGCATACAGATTCTGTTTGGGCACTTGCCAGTACCCCAACATTTAGTCATGTATATAGTGGTGGGAGAGACCTTTCTGTGAGTACAGCTCTCTTGTAAATTCTGTTCTCAGACATCATTGGCTGTTCAGGTTTGCTGCTCATTTTTTTTTAATACTGAATTCTGTTTATACCCTCAGTTATACTTGACAGACTTGGCCACCAGAGAGAGTCTCCTGCTTTCCACAGGGGAACATCCCATTTTGCAGTTGGCTTTACATGATGATAGTATCTGGGTTGCAACAACAGATTCTTCAGTTCATAGATGGCCTGCTGAAGGGAGTAATCCCCAGAAGATTATTCAAAGAGGTGGTGCATTCTTGGCTGGAAATTTATCCTTTTCAAGAGCAAGGGTGTCCTTAGAAGGATCAACCCTAGTAAGTATCACTCTGTTCTTTATATTCAAATTTATGTCTTCTTGTTGCATGTGCATGTACCATGCTCTATTTATCATGGTATATATTCGTACCTGTTTCTTCATAAGTCTTATTTGATATTTGCCACGTCAGACCTTTGAGTTTAGGGGATTAATGTTGTTGTGGTTGTTTTCCAGGTCCCTGTTAATAAAGAACCTATATTTACGATTCCTGGAACTCCTGGAATAGTGCAACATGAAATATTAAACAATAGAAGGCATGTCTTGACAAAGGTAATCATGTTGATTTTCTCATATGTTGTTATGACGATGCTCCTGTTTAAAGTTACTTTGACTATCTAGTTTTGTTGTCAAACTATATGTCATTGCTTAATTAAATATTATGAACCAATGTGACCTTGACAGGACACTGCTGATTCAGTGAAGTTGTGGGAGATTACGAGGGGTGTTGTCATTGAGGATTATGGAAAGGTTATATTCCTTTTTTCCTGTACTCTATTATCTGACTAGAATTATATAATAGTGTTAGAGGCAAATGCCTTATTGAGGAACATTATAAGCATCTATACTTATATTGTGTACCATACAGGTCAAATTTGAGGAGAAAAAAGAAGAGCTTTTTGAGATGGTATGCGTCCTAGTCTACAGTGATTTCAGCTTAACAGTGTTGATGAATTTTTATAGTGATTTCTTGACTGGTTCAGGTGAGCATTCCTGCATGGTTCACTGTGGATACCAGACTTGGATGTTTATCTGTACATTTAGATACCCCACAATGCTTTTCAGCGGAGATGTATTCAGCAGACCTTAACATTGTGGGGAAGCCTGAAGATGACAAGGTAGATATAACCTTTACTGTTCTATATTTTTTTCGCCCCCTTTTTTGTGGGTTCTATGATTTCTGTCTTTTTTTCCCCTTAGCTGTGACATTTAACCATTTATTAGTTATGACAAGTCTGTCTACCGATTTATCTATTTTTACGCACCATGACGAAATTGTTTGAGAATTAAGTTTTTGTAATTCTTCAGGTTAATCTAGCGCGAGAAACCCTTAAAGGGCTTTTGGCTCATTGGTTGGCAAAAAGAAAGCAAGGGTTTGGACCACAAGCATCAGCTAATGGGGATGTGTCATCTGGAAAGGATATTACTACTAGAAGTATTACCCATTCAAGAATTGAGGTGGATAGTAATGCTGAAAATGATTCAATGGTCCATCCTCCCTTCGAATTTTCTACAACTTCCCCTCCTTCTGTTATTACTGAGGGCTCTCAGGGAGGCCCATGGAGGAAGAAAATCACTGACCTAGATGGCACTGAAGATGAGAAGGACTTTCCTTGGTGGTGTCTCGATTGTGTGTTGAATAATCGCCTACCCCCTAGAGAAAATACCAAGTAACTTCCTTGCTTTAGTATACTGTTTTTACTTCCTAGCTGAGAATATAAATTCTCCATTCAGTTTTCAGAAGACGAAGGTGTTTATGGATTAAAATAGAATTACTTGCCTGAAATTTGTAGAGTTTTAAGCAATTACAAAAATTAAGTTGTAGAGTTTTAGGGACATCTTTCCATTTTAGTTTTTCCCTGACATTTCTTATTGAAAGATGGGCAGTCTAGCAATAGTCGTTGAAACTAAAGTTACGATCAGAGCGGTCGTGAAATAAAGTAGGAAAGCCATAAGTTCTTGTTTCCTTTCTCTTCAAGGATTCAATGCCTTAATTCCTTCTCTCCGCAATTTCTTCTTTCTTATTCAAAAATTAATAATACTTTCTTTTTTCCTAGATGGTTTTTTATTTTCAATTTGCTAGTGAAGGCATTATGTTTGAAATATTATGTCCTTTTGTGTTATCTTATAGAAGAAAAATTCTTTTGTTAATTTTTCAGGTGCAGTTTTTATCTACATCCATGTGAAGGTTCAACTGTTCAGATCCTCACTCAAGGGAAACTAAGCGCCCCTCGTATTTTACGAATTCATAAAGTAAGTTCTGCGTTTCATGTTAGCTCATGGATGATGGAAGTTCTTCAAGTACTCATTATTGTTGTGTGCGCACCCACATGTATCCTATTTATTTTACTTTACTAATGGGAAGCTTTATGCAGGTTGTTAATTATGTTGTTGAGAAGATGGTCCTTGACAAACCATTGGATAGTGCAAATCCTGATGCCACATTTGCTCCTGGTCTTGCTGGAGGGCCATTGCAGCTATCATCGGTTGGAGATGGATCTTTCCGATCTGGATTGAAGCCATGGCAAAAGCTTAAGCCTTCTATAGAGATATTGTGCAATAATCAGGCAAGTGGACAAACATCTTGGGTGGACGTCTGCATAGTAATTAGCAAATTAAGTCTTTAATAGGTTTCTTTTTGTGGTAATTGAAAGTTTAACGAAACTATAACTGCTAAAAGTTTTAAGACATTGGTAAATGCTTTTTCTGCTTTTGGGATTAGCAGCTAAATGTATTCTTGGTTGAACTTACATGCAATTTACCAGTTCTGTGACTGCTATTGGTTATTACCTATCCTTTTGTTATGCACAGGTCTTGTCCCCAGACATGAGCTTAGCCACGGTGCGGGCTTATATATGGAAGAAATCTGAGGACCTGGTTCTCAATTACAGGGTGATTCAGGGCAGGTGAGTCTCTGCTAGATTCCGGAGGTGAGGTGCATTTGTTATCGCTAATGTGCAAATTTTGGATGTATTAAGATTGATTGAAAATTTGTAGTAAAAAAAACAGCCTTTTCACTTAAGCGGTAGATAGGGATCAGCTCTACCGAGACAGAGCTGTAGCTTAAAGGTTTGTCATTAATACTTGCAGGTGATGTTGTGTTTAAGCTAATGAGAAACGTTGATTCTTCTGGGGTCGCTCGTGGTACACTTGTAAAGTTTGAAAACTAATTGATTGCGGAATCCAGTGCCATTCCCCAAATCTTCCCGAGAAGGCCCCTTGTTGGGCAAAAGGGGGCATCATGATCTTTGTTGCTGATACAGAAGCTTTTGCTGGACGCTGCAGATTTGTCAATTGGTTGTCTGCATGTGGCAGTAGATAGAGTGTTCGACCGGATGAGAAATGAACATGAATTTTCTTCGAACTTCTGAAGAGCCGTATCAGGCACATGGTAATGAAAGATTTGTAGATTTATATTGTCGGTTTCAATACCCAGCCATAGAACACTCTATTGTGAAAGGAATTTTCCTTTGTTTCACAGAATAAGACAGTATCATTCTGCATCATTTCCAGATTTCTTTTTCGTTATCCGCGTGCTACTCCTTCGTGTAGTTTCTTATTTTCAGATACATTCTACAAAATGAAATCCCCAATTTTGCATTATACTGGTTAGAAATTGTTGTATCGTCTGTTAGTTTTTCTTGTTTACTTTGTTTCCCTTGTATATGTAATTTATTATGGAGTTGGAACTGTTCTTTCGTTATTGTAATACTTCAATTCTTGTTTTGGTTGCCGTTGGCGTCGGGCTTGATTTCGTTTGTGCAAGAACATTCCGCTTCTTCGAATCGTTGTACTGTAATGTTTACGTTCTCTGTGTGACTATTTCCGGCTCGGGACTTGCCTGTTCCGTTCATGAGACAATGTAAACGTTCGGCAAGGGACCGAAAGTTCCCCAGTACTCAGCAAACGTTTTATATTCTAATGTCGATAATATCGTTTGTTTAAAAAAAAAAAAAAATTATCTTTTCCTTTATTTTGGCTCAGTAAAACTTTGCTGGAGATATAAGATTGGATAAAAGAAAAATAGTGTCCCGCGCCACCGCGATTTTTGAATTTAAAACATCTCACTTACTAAGGCCATCTCCAATCGAAGGCTGGCCAGAGGGCTCGTTTTGGCCCTTTGGCCCTTCAAGATATTAATATTTTAATAAACAGTACAGAGTCATAGTTGCCCCTATCTCCAACCAAGGACCAGAGGGCTCGTTTTAGTCCTGTCACAAAAAACCATCTCCAACCGAGAGGGACAAATGGCAATAGTATAGAATGTAAAGAATTGAAATAAAATAAGGTAAGACAGTATGAAATGGTGAAAAATATATGAGAAATAGTGTAGGAAAAAAATTAGAAATTAAAAATGAAAAAAAAGGGCTATTAAAAAATAAATAAAAAAGTGGGCTAGGACAAAAAAAGTTCCTAAACCCGAAACCTAAGGTGGGCTGAAAGAACAAAAAAAAATAAAGAAACTGGGCTGGGCAAGTGGAAAAGGGCAAAAAAAAAAAAAAAAAAAAAGACAAACAAAATGGGCTAGCCAGCCGCCTGCCTGCCTGCCTGAAGATGGCCAGCGGGTTGGCCCTCTGGTCCCTTTTTGTCCCGTAGGATCCATAAGTTCTTTGATTTAGTTCTTGGTTAGAGATGATTTTCGGATTTCTGGACTTTTCGGTTGGAGATGGTCTAAACGACCAGCTTTTCATTGTTAAAGCAAATGTAATTGCTCGACAGAAAACCGAAAGTTCCCATATGCGCGTACCCGGCAAGCGTCATATTATAATGCGAACTCGTGTCGACTGCCGAACTTTTGAACGAGTGAAAAGTACTAGAAACAGAAACACATTTTATGGTCCTGGGCCAGTGATGTTGGACTTGGAAAGTTGGAAATGGTCCCATGATCCCATCAGGTTTGGGTTATGTTCCCTTTCTCATTGAAAGGGGTTCGGCTCGAAGTTTGACCACAAATCGTGCTTGCTGATGGTTGTCTTAGGCGGTGGTGGTGATGCGGTAATGGACGTAAGGATAATGCTAGTGAGAATAATTTTTGTAAATTGAATATGAAAGTTAACGATTGCATTACTACTTAACTATTGATTACCGTGCTTATTCTTTTTATTGGTGACGTGTCATTTAGTTTGCAAATTTTGTTAATTTGGCATCACTTTGGAATTTGTTCCATCTGGATTGGTCCTACTTACGCTATCTCCAACCGACCCGACCAAAGGGGTATAGGGCTAAAAATAGTTTGGAATGACACAAAAACTGCCTCTAACCGATGGCTAGGCCAAAGGGTTTGTGGGCCCCACCGGCCCCAAACCTCCAAATCAGGCCAACGGGCTAGCCATTTCCAACTAGCCAGCCAGCCCTCCAACGCCAAATAGTACACCACGAATCATTATAAAAATAATAAGATATGTGTGTTAGAAAATTGATAACTTAAAATATAAAAAATTTCATCACTTACATAAAAACACATATATCACATGTGTTTCCGTCTGAATGAAAATTTTCTCCACCTATGCCAGCCCTTTCCGGCATTGTTGTCTCCATTTGGCAATGACAGTGCCACTTCCCCACTAACTGGTAAGATTGTAACTCGTCTTTTTCATGCAATTCACCAACATTACTGCAAACTCCACAGCGTCAGATGACCCATGTGGCCAAATATCAACCAGAGCAAAATAACAATGGACAAAACTCAACTATTTGGGTCGGCCGCCCAGACCCACATCAGGTACAATCCAGATTATCACTCAATAATATTATTTCCTTATTTTTCTGCACCAAAAAAATTTGCTGGGTTTTGTTAATGCTAAATTAGAGGAAAGTTGAAGACTTTACTTGTTTCACAGGCTATATCTTCCTGTAGTTTATCTGTGTCTGCTTCAAGTTTCAATTTTGTGCCGATTTTTTAGTGTCCCCTACGGTTTGTGTTGTGCTAAATGCATGATTGTGTCTGTTAGAGTGGTTTAAGGGAATGTCCAACTGAATTGGGCAGGTTTTGTTCACTGTGTTAAGGTGTTCCCAAGTGCTAGTTTGTATTGAAAGAGTTCTTTTGCGTTTTGCTTGAAGCCATGGCATCAGTTATAGGCTTTCCGGGTCCTCATTTTTTCGTGTTGAATTCGGAGAATAAGCTTCGGACTCGTGTACTGCAGGTTAAGAGTTTAGGTGGTAAGGATTCACCGGGGTTGTCATCTGAATCTGTTGTTTTGAATGGTGCTTCCGGAATCGAGGAGAGGGAGGAAAGGAGGTCTGTGATTGATAGAGGGAATGGGAGTTTGAGGCTTAAAGTTAAGGAGGAGAAGAGGGTGGAGGATGGTGGTGGTCTTGAAAGTTTGGAACCTTTGTACGATGATGGGTATGGGACTGTCACTGTAAAAGATTATTTTCATGCAAACAAGGAGATGATTAAGCCTGATGGTGGACCTCCCCGATGGTTTTCTCCCATTGAGTGCGGGCGTCCATTGAAGGATTCTCCGATTCTTTTGTTTTTGCCTGGTAATTGTTGCCTTGCCAAAGATGATAAATCATAAGTTGGTTTCTAATGTTGGCACTGTGATTTGCATATAAATGATATATCTATACGTGTAGAGTAGCTAAACAGCATACATCTGAGAAAAATGTGTTTGTTATGTTTCTTAGCGAGTGAAGTTCTGTAGTGCAGAATGTTGTATAATCATTTATGTATTGTGCATATACAGGGCTGGATGGTACTGGATGGGGCCTCATTTTGCACCATAAAGCTCTTGGGAAGTAAGTTTTTCGAATTATTTATTTTGTTGTAGTTTACAAAATTTTGTTCGGATCTTGGGAAGTTGGATAACTTTTATGTTCAGTTTTAAAACAGAACTATGGTTTGTGGGAAATTCCATTCAAATAAATGGTTGTCCTTGTTAGAGAAATATGGTATCGTTAAAAATCAGGTTTTAGCTCTGAAATTGGAGGTAAACTATTTCTAGCAGCTTCTGATATATAATTCGTTGAAATAACGCAGGGCTTTTGAAGTTCGATGCCTGCATATTCCTGTTAATGATCGAACACCATTTGAAGGTGTTAATCTTGATAACACCATTTGAAATTCTTTATATATGTATGAATTATCAGTTTTGTTTTGATAACGTGGCACTCTTAATCAATAATTTCGTTTGGTTTCATCTGTTTAGGGCTGGTGAAATTTGTCGAAGAAACTATACGGCTTGAGCATGCTTCATCTCCAAACAAGCCAATTTACTTGGTAGGAGATTCCTTTGGAGGATGCCTGTCACTTGCCATTGCTGCACGTAATCCTACCATTGATTTAGTACTGACACTAGTCAATCCAGGTTGGTTATAAGTTGTGCAGTCCAATTTTCTTCAACATGTATTTTTGTTATGCTAATGGCAGTGTTGTCAACACACCAACTCAGTCTGACATTTCGGTGTTTTTTATTTTAGCTACATCAGTTGAAAGGTCTCCGCTGCAACCTCTGTTCCCAATCTTGGCTGCTATGCCTGATGAATTACATATTGCTGTTCCCTATCTACTTGGCTTTGTTATGGGTCTGTGATTTGTTGCTCTGAAATCTAATTAACAAAAACATTTATGCTGAAGTGAGATAAGTCATTTCTAATTTGGCCCTTGACTGTGCTTTCAATCCTTGAAAAAGACTCTTTTAGAGCCTGGTACACTCACTGTCTCGGTTAATTGTGTTACTATGATATGTGGAATGCTTATTCTCTTGGGGTGCTGCCAGTCCAGGGATACGGCGTTCATTATCTTCCCTGGACTAAAATGAATGATATAAATACTTGATGTTGTCTTGTTGCAAGTCTTGTTATGAACCTTGACTAATTTTGAGCCCTGTGTCGTAGCCAATGAATTTGTGTCTCAAGTTTCTTACAATCTGAAATGCTAATGTGAGTATTTAGACTGTAGCTTATCACGGGAACAAATCTGATCAATACAATCAGGAATTTTTTAATTAGGAGCCCAGTAACTAAAATGAATTTTACTATCAAATTGTTAATCTAGGAGCAAAAGAGAATATGGTACTTTATATTTGGAATTTGGTGAGGTCAATAAGATTATGATTTCAGTTCACAAGAAAACTCATTTGTGTTGGTCTCCTAGAGACTTGGGTTATTAGCATAATAGCATTATATTAATAGGTTCTATGATTTGAAAGATAAGTTTGCGGATGGTTGAACTAAAGAATTGTTTTGGAAGCTTTTATTGTACTTTTCCTGTTGTTAATTTTTTTGATACGTCGGTAAATTGCATTATCTTGTATTGAATGTTAAGTTGATTGGGAGCCATGTATATTTGTTGGAAGCAGTTTTAAGAACTTTTGGATGTTAGTTTTCCTGGAAAGTTTCATGTGGTGTCATGGTCAGAAACAACTGTTTGCAGTTTCAAGCCCCTACGTTTTCCACTGCCAAATACAAGAATTCTGATGTCACTACTTTAACCTTCTTTCCATCAGGTGATCCAACAAAAATGGCGATGGTTAACATAGAAAATAGACTTCCATCGAGTTTAAAGTTAACACAAATGTCTCGCAATCTGACTGATTTGCTACCATATCTCTCCGTAAGAAGTGCTTTCAATTCCTTTTCTTGAACTTCATTGAAATGTCTACATGTGTGGATTCTACCTTATTTTCAATATTTACTTACTTCCATCATTTCCATCTCAGTCTTTGGCTGATATTATACCGAGGGACACTCTTCTTTGGAAGCTGAAGCTGCTCAAGTCAGCTGCTGCTTATGCAAATTCCCGTCTCCATGCTGTTAAAGCTGAAGTGCTAGTGTTGGCTAGGTTAATAATCACTATAGCCATTGTGTTTCTCTCCCACTCGCATTAAAAATGTTATCGTAAAATTGTACATTTGATATTTTAATTTTTTATAGTAAAAATCATATGTTGGCATTTCAGTGGCAAAGATAACATGGTTCCAAGTCGAGAGGAAGCAGAACGACTGGCACGTTCGTTACAGAATTGTACAGTACGACACTTCAATGACAATGGACATACTCTGTTACTAGTAAGTTAAAAGATGTGTGTATATTTTCAAGTCTGGTGCGATGCTACTGAATTTTCTCTATGCTGCATCAATGATGACAAGTGTAATGACGTGTTTAGCATACGTTGTGAAATCAATGCCCTTAATGATTTTGTTTAAACTGCGTAGATGTAACTATCAACACATTCGACTGATGATGGTGAATTTTATCTTTAAGTTGGCTTCAATTTGTCCGTTGGATAATGGTTAATAACATTAACTTTAAATTAATAACCAAGGTGCATTTCTGGATATGAATTTAGTACACAGTTTTATTTCTTTTCTTGAATATTGTTGAATCTGTTCTTTGAACTCAAAACCTTTTATTAATTCCCAAGTCGGATAAAATCTCTAGTTAAAGAATAAAGATTGAGTTTTGGCTTCAAGAACTCTCTTGGGATATCAATTTCCCATTTGACAATGGACACTAGACTATTACTGTGACAACAATTTTGTTTGCTTTGATGCAAGTTTCGATATACTTTGCTGTTCCTGTGTAATATAAGCTTTACCTTTTCGGGTGCCATTGACTTGTGAAGATGCTAATGTGACTGAATGTGCTCTATTGTCATATTACAGGAAGATGGCGTTAATTTGATGTCAGTTATAAAAGGCACTTACAAATACCGTCGTTCAAGGAAGCATGATTATGTCTCAGATTTTCTTCCTCCTAGTATGTGGGAATTGAAATATACATGTGATGAACAATTCGGGTAATTCGGTTCAACACCTAATACTTTTCTTACATTTGTTTGTTTCATATTCTGTGTTGCAGATTTCCAGGCATGTTAGTTCCAAAATGTATTTGCAGTATAATTGCATCATGTATGGGTTTCACTTGCACCTAACCCGGACCCCACTAAGTTGCATCCATTAACATATTTGTTGATTTGGGGCCAGAGCTGATACTGAAATACATGAATGTCAGATTATTACGCCTATCTACTGCTTCCGTAATGCTCTCAACGTTGGAAGATGGGAAGATTGTGAGAGGTCTTGCTGGAGTTCCAGATGAAGGACCTGTCTTACTTGTTGGTAATCACAATTTATTGGGATTGGAAGTTTATTCTTTAGTTGAAGAATTTTTAAGAGAGAAGAGCATAATGGTTCGTGGAGTAGCACATCCAGCGTTGTTTTGGGGCAAGCACGGGAACTTGGCCCAATTTGACTATCTCAAAATATTCGGCGCAGTACCTGTCACAGCAAAAAACCTATTCAAATTGCTTGCAACAAAATCGCATGTTCTGCTCTATCCTGGTGGTGCACGTGAGGCTCTCCATAACAAGGTGCGCCAAGATTCCAAGAACTTAGTTTTCGATCTGGCATTTTGCACGTTTTAAATGTGTGTGAAATGGATTTTACAAGCACACTTCATTCTTGTTGGTAATTTATCTGTTATAGTTTTGGTTTCCCATGCCTATATGGTGTTTCTTTAATTGGCAGGGTGAAGAATACAAGTTATTCTGGCCTGACCAACCCGAATTTGTGAGAATGGCTGCACGCTTTGGGGCCACAATTGTACCATTTGCGGCTGTAGGAGAAGATGACATGCTAGAAGTAAGCTTGTATTAAACTGTTCTTCCCAAAAAAAATTCTTAACAAAATATGGACCTTGTTTCATAGTGTATGATAAGTTTTATGAAATCTCGCTCGCCTATAGCTTTCAATACTTAACACGCCTTATAATTATTTTCTTCCGATGCCACTCTTTTTTTTTTTCCTTTTCGGAAAACAGATAATGTCACAATGCCATGCCTTGTTTTTACTTTTGAGCTTAACTTCCAGTTAACATTATATTTCGGTTCTTATGTTGGATCTGGCAGTTGGTTGTTGACTACAATGACCTAATGAATATCCCAGTGGTGAGTGACTATCTCAAAGCCGCTAAGCTTGATTCTATAAAAATAAGGTAATAATCTCCGTCTTAATGTTTTCGTGTTCTCCCAACTCTAATCTTAATGGTCGCAAATTGTTAGACTGAGTTATAACGTTTTCTGGTTTATAGGGATGAGTCGAGTGGGGAGGTTGCCAACATACAACTCTTTTTTCCAGGGATTCTACCGAAGATACCAGGACGGTATTACTGTTTGTTTGGGAAGCCCATCGAAACAAAGGGAAAGAAAGAGATCCTGAAAGACAAAGAAAACGCAAACGAATTGTACTTGCAGATACAATCAGACATTGAAAACAGCTTGGCGTACTTAATTAAAAAGCGGGAGGAGGATCCTTATAGGAATGTTTTCGACAGAACAGTATATCGGGCAATGTATCACCATGTAGAGGAAGTTCCAACATTTGAGCCTTGAAATTTTGATTTTGTTGGATACATTCTTCTTGTTTATAGTGTAATTATTTTTCCATGGAAGATGTTTGTGTACTAAAGAAAAGCATCTTCGTCGTTTTCTTCCTCTGCCGAATCTTGCGTCGCAAGAAAACTTGAAATTGGGGTCTGAAACTCTGAGAAGAAACATGAGGAATTTTATGATTCTCATTTTTCATAGTGATATTATCCGTTGGAAATCATAATTCGCGTGACGAACGAGTTCGCATAGGTTTACTACTGAAACTGGGATATTTGATTTCTTATCCGGGGATGAAGAATCAGTCCCAAATTGAAGATTATTTGAAAAAAAATTGGGTCAGATTTTAGCATATGTAAGTAAGTAGCAGGACCACGCTAACCTTCTGTTTGAGATCAAAGATAGCGGTATCCTAGGCCTATCAAGCGTTGTCATGTGTGTTACTTTGCCCACATCCACATGACATTGTGTGATTGACTTAAAATATTGCCATTTTGACGTCTTGATTGCATGTAAGTTCTCAAGACGGAAACATTTGCTATTTTTCTTTTTTGGGTGTGTCAGATTTGTCAAACAGGAAACGAAAGTACGGAATAATATCTCTAAAGGATGTAAAGTAGTGCCTTTTTTCCCTATATTCTCCTTCATCTTAGACTTAAAAAATGAGGGAAGAAAGTTGAGTGCCCTTGGAACTCAGAACATGATTCTGCAAATAATTTGAGATAATTTGACAAGGCAGAGAATCTGCATTAGGGCAAAAGGGTTAAGCTTTGATTCTTGATGTTTCTCTTCAAGGGAAGAGTATTTAGGCCAAAAGTTCCAACTTCTGAGTATGATGATATCGAGAGAGACTTACATGCAACTTAAACGTAAATATGTTACTATTTTAAGTTTGTCACATGTCACCATATGTTTTTAACTTGTCTAGATCGTGTTGTGTGATTAATTTGAAATATATCACATTGATGTCCCCGTAACATGTAAGTTTTCTTATTGGTGATATGGGTGGCTAATCAAGTTTTGCTACCCATCTCTCTCTATTTTTTTCGAGGGAAGTTAATGGGGGTCACATTCTATGGATCAACAGAATATGATTCTTTAACAGTTTTGCTATGGAATCTTGGAAGTGTCTGTCCAACACACACACACACATATATATATATACACACACACACACACACATATATTAAAGCTTCGATAATCCAAGTAATCAGAAAAAAAAAAATTCATACAGGTAATTCCAAACTTGAAGCAATGACCAGCTACCGTCATGGACCAGGCTACCCTACCGGACCAGCTTACTCCACCGGACCAGGCTACTCCACCGGACCAGCTTACTCCACCGGACCAGCCTACTCCACCGGACCAACCTACACCACCGGAAGCAACGGGGTAAGACCGTACACCAACGAGTGGGGCCAAACAAGGTACGCTGACACCGACGAGTTCCGCACAACCATAGTTGATGCTGACCAAACTCGAAGCACAACCATTGCACAACCTGCTGGGAGCTACGTTACTAAACACGAGACGATTATTACTGAACGTGTTGACTCACCTTTGTTAACTTCATACAGGCATGGCTCTCCCCCAGGTGGAAATTACGGCTATCCTGCCACCGGAGACAACTGGAGTAGCAGGCCTTCGAGCCCTCCACGACAGGCCTTTGAGCCAGCAAGAACTTATGGCGGCTACCCTAATCAAAGTGGATACAACGGGCCTCCAGGATATGGTGATTACAGTGATCAGTACAGCACCAACAAGCCGTACAAACATTCCAACACCACTAGGTACGACAACTATGATGACCACTCACACAACCGCAAACATAACGGTGGTGCCATGGGAACGGCAATTAACATGATAGCTAACGGTAGTGGCCACAGCGCTAAGCCAAACCGTGGATCACTACTGGCGGCTGCACGTCCAGTTCGAGGGGATGGCAGGCTCAGCCTGCCAACGGATGACATGGAGAGAGCCCTGCACTACATGAAGGAGAGTTCAAAGCCCAAGGACAAATATTCCTACAAGTAAAACATGTGATGCTAATTAAGGCTTTATGCTTCTGCTTCGTTGTATGCGTTTCTTACGTCCTTTTCGTCTGTTGGATCGGTATAACCTGGCCACTCTATCTGTTTGTGTGTTTCTGCTTCTGTTTAGTTTCATGGTAAGACATGGAAGTGTACTCTTTGTAATCTGTATTGATGGCATGTATGCCTTGTGAACTAAGTAATAAAATAAGCCTTGTAGTAATTTCGTGAATTCGTTTTTCCTTTTTTTTTTTTCTTTCTTTTATGAAGTAATTACGATCGCCCTTCGGGTTGGCTCAAGTGGTGAGAGTTGTTGGGAAATGGATTATTTCTGACAAGCGCAAATCATTTCCCTTATTGTAGATCCAGTACACAACCAAATATATGGGTCTGTAACTAGGGATGGGCAAAATACCTGGGGATATGGGTAATCGCGGTTATCCGTCCATTTAAATTGCATGATTACGGTGATGGGTAACCGTTTAAATAAATAAACGGTTATGAGTATAATTGTTTACCCGTGAAATTTAAATTGGTGGTTATGAGTATTAACCGCGGTTATAGACGGGTAACTGTTTATCCATTTATTTTATATATGTAAAATTAACACAAACCATGTTCTCTATCGAACAAAACTTAGATCTATGCTATTGACTATAGTGCATGATTTATATAGCTAATTATATATATTATGTCAATACTTTACATTATAAGTTAAATAACTCAATAATATTGTCTTCTAAACAGTTTTCGTAACCAAAAATACTTAACAAATATTATATTACCTTCATTGGTAACATGGATTAGTAGTAAAAGTTTTCCCAAAAGATTAGAAAAATAAATAACAATTCCCCTCAGCCCCACTCACTTAATTCAACCCAAGACCTGTTCCTCAAACATGTTGCGACTTGCCATTTCAGCTAATCCCTCACTTTTCTTAGCATTGTTACTATAATTTATATATCCTATATTCCAATTTTGTTTTTTAAAACTAATTTTCTTGCTTTTTCATTCTATATCAATTAAAAATATCGTTCGTAAATTATTATTTCAATTATTTGAATGGTATAGGGATTTAAAAAATTAAAATATGGAAATGTATGATGAATGTACCTATAACGGTGTTTAATTGTCAAAAAAAAAAAAATTATGACAATTTTTTTTTTAATTTTCAAGTTGTTAAAAAATATGTAGACGGGTGAAAAATGGGTAATGGTAAAAAAAGAAAAAGAAAAAAGATAAACGGGTTAAAAAGGGTAAATGAGTAAACGGATATTAAACGGTTATGGTTAAATGGGTATGCGGTTATAGGTATGGTTAACCATAAACGGTTATGAGTATGAGTATAACCTTTTAGGCAATTACCCAACGGGTAAACGGTAATGCGGGTATGAGCATAAACGGTTATGGGTAAATAACTGCGGTTACTCACCCGCCATAACCGTTGTCCATCCCTATCTGTAACTAAACCTCTACTGATGACATATTGCCAAATCTGTCTGCACCAAGACACAACCTTCTGTATATGCTCACTGCCACCCCGATCAATACTCCTCTTCCTAAAGAATTTCACCCTCAAAGAGAGGCATCACATGATGGCTCAAATAGCTAGAAGCCGAGCTCCTAACCTCAAGCAAAATCAACCCCAGAATCGAGACTATTTGAGAAGTGCGCGATGTTGTTTGGAATATGGTGTTTTGCTGGACCAAGCTAGCAATGGTTTTTGATTTGTTGTCATCCTCTTCATATCCTTCAGCATGAACGTATTAGAAAATATCTCTAAAGCACGTAAACTTGTTATCAAGATTGGACCGAAATTTTTAGTGCATTTGGAATTCAGAACAGAGGGAATATCATTTGGTTGGTGGAGGTCTCAATCCGTTGTATGAACAGAACATGATTCTTTAGCGTTACTATTAAGGCCTAGTCTTAGATGCGACAGAAAGTTTCAATAACTGCATGCTTTTGTGAATTCTCACAGTTCCGTGGGAATCACCCACTGCAACTACTTAATGGACATCAAGACTTGATTCTACGTTTACTAGAATCGAATGACCACGCAGTTTATCTTGTAGCGGAAGTTAGTGTAGTCTTACCAGAAGAAAACTTTTCCGTCAAGGGAAGACAACAATGGAGGTCGAAATCCATGGATTGGCAGGAATATGATTCCTTCAACTGTTTCCGCAATGGAAGAACCGAGGGAGTCTTGAAGTGCCTCGGTATAATGCCTATTACTGACACAGGACCGAGTCTCTTAGGGACGTTTCAGCAGGCAAATCTTCGTTTCGTGTTTGATGTTAGAAGTATGACAGTGTCATTTGCACCGGATAAAGGCCAAGATAACTGAAAACTTGATGTGATCTAAGGATTTTATTAGTTATTTATTATGTTGTGCTAGAAACTCCTTGTGGAATAATCAAAGTAAGTCACAAAGATCAAACCAAACAACTAATTCGTAAATATTTTGGCCAGCGTAAACCACGAAAGCAAGGAGATGAAAGCAGAAACAAAACCTACAATTTCACACTACAGAATGCATTTTGATCAACTACGATGGAAACGAAGGTTCAAAAAAGTACGGTCACTAAAAGGCAATAAGGCTCCCAAGGCAATAAGACTCCTGCTTTGCAAGGGTCGGGCAACATCTATGGTGACCATTGTTCTAATTATTGCTTCGGCGATTGAAAATTAAGAAATAGTGACTAAACTTGCTGTGGCACCCGTCTAGACAGCCTAGGTACCCGCCTAGGTTGCAACTCATTTAGACAGAAAATGGATAACTTTTATTTTGCATTCTATTTTTTTCAATAAATTGTAAGAGACTTGTTGAATAATTAAATGAATGCACAATATATACATGTTCCCCATGTTTTCATTATGTTCCAATATTTTCTATTATATATGTCATTCTATTTTGTAGTTTATAATGTAATTATATATATTTTAAGTATAAAAAAACACTTATTTACACAAATATAATAAATTTACTTAAATTTGTCTAGTTTGCTTAAGTGCCCGCCTAAGCTCTGCCTAGTTGCTTAGGCGCTAGACCCAACTTGCCGTCCGACTAGCGCCTAGCGTCTTTTAGAATCTTGATCGTAACCACTAGTGCATACTATTTACCTCTCACTTTTTTGCAACCACCTGAAATATTTGGTAAATAACGGGTTTCTATCTGAGTTCTCAGTTCTTCCCGCCGGGAATCCTTGCTGCTCAACGACTCCGATATCTCGTAGTCTCATGCAATCGTCCAAAACTACCCTTACTATTTCGTCCTTCTATGGGTAGAAAATGACATTACAAGTTTTCACTATTTCTGAATTGACCCCAAAATGTTTTGTCGTATTTCATATTAGTTCTTTTCAGATACCGTTTTTATAGTTTGAAACAGAGAGGTAAATTCTGCTCAGAACCGTTAAATTTCCCGCGTTTTTTCCATCTTCTTCTTCTTCATGCGTAATCTGTTCCTCCATATCCACGGATTATTTCCCAAAATACCCTTCAATCTCAGCCCCTCGTCTTCCTTCTCAGTCTACGCTTCTTGTTCTTATTCTTCTGCAAATGTTCACGAGTTCTCGTCACTCTTTCAACAATTTGCACAAAAGCTTATCTGGGTCAAATCCATTCATGCCCAGATCATCATTAATTCTATATCTAATGACCAAATTCTGGGTACAAAACTCGTTAAAGCGTACTCGGATTTGGGAAGTTTGGATACTGCCCGCCAAGTGTTCGATCAATTTCCTCAACCAGAAACCATTCTATGCAATGCCATGGTTTATGGGTATTTGAGAAAAGAGAGGTACAGTGAGAGCCTTGAGTTGTTTAATTTGATGGGTTCTTATCATTTGGAGATTGATAGTTACACGTGTAATTATGCGCTGAAGGCATGCATGGGCTTATTGGATTACAGAAGGGGGATGGAAGTTATTAAGAGAGCTGTGGATAAAGGAATTGAAAGTGATCGATTTTTGGGGAGTTCGATGATTCATTTCTTGGTGAAGTTTGATAAGGTTGATTGTGCGCAAAGGTTTTTCGATAGGATGCCAGAAAGAGATGTTGTTTGTTGGAATTCCATGATTGGTGGCTATGTGCAACCTGGTCAGTTTAGTAAGGCAGTTGATATGTTTGTAGAAATGTGTAGTTGTGGGGTTAAGCCGAGTCTGGTTACTATGCTAAGCTTGATTCAAGTTTGCATTAAAAGTGGGAATTTCAAGCTTGCAAAATGTGTTCATGGATGCATAATTAGACTAGGAATGGGTAATGAGGTTTTACTACGTACCTCGCTAGTGGATATGTATAATAATATGGGTGACATGCGAAGTTCCTTTTCTGTTTTTGAGACCATGCCCATCAGAAGTTTGATTTCGTGGAATGTCATGATATCGGGGTGCATTCAAAATGGTCTGGTACACGAGTCTTTTGGTTTCTTCCACAGATTGGTCACAGATGGTGGTAGGTTTGATTCGGGAACCATGGTGAGTCTTGTTCAGGGATGTTCTCAAACAGCTGATTTGGAAACTGGGAAAATCCTACATTGTTGTGTTTTTAGAATGGGTTTTGATCCAAATCCTATTTTGTCTACTGCCATTGTTGATTTGTACTCTAAATGTGGTGCAATAAAGCTAGCAACATTTGTCTTTGATAGAATGAAAGAGAAGAACGTGATTACATGGACGGCCATGCTGGTAGGATTGACGCAAAATGGGCATGCAGAAGAAGCCTTGAAACTGTTTAGTCAGATGCAAGAAGAGGGAATTGCTGCTAATTTGGTAACTCTTGTTAGTTTAGTCCATTCCTGTTCACATTTGGGCTCTCTGAAGAAAGGCAGGAGTGTTCATGCTCATTTGATCCGGAATGGGCATGAAGTTGATGTAGTTACCATGACAGCCTTGATTGATATGTATGCAAAGTGTGGAAAAATAAAGTACGCTGAGAGAACATTTGAAAATGGCGCCTTTTGTAGAGATGTTATCCTATGGAATTCTATGATAACTAGCTACGGTATTCACGGATATGGACTGCAAGCTCTTGGTATCTATAGAAGAATGAAGGAGGAGGGGTATAAGCCAAATGAAACCTCCCTTCTTTCTCTTCTAACTGCTTGTAGTCACTCCGGACTTGTGGAAGAGGGTATCAAACTATTCCACAGCATGGAGAGAGATCGTGGCATTAGGCTGACTGAAAAACACTACGCTAGTTTTGTGGATCTTTTATGCCGAGCAGGCAGACTTGAAGAAGCTGAGGCATTGATTAAGCAAATATCTTTTGAACCAGGAAGTTCGGTTCTTGAAGCATTGCTTAATGGATGTCAGGCTCACAAGAACATTGATATCGGCATAAAGACAGCTGACAGATTGCTTTGTATAGATTCCATGAATCCTTCAATTTATGTTGTGATATCAAACATTTATGCTCAAGCACGGAGATGGGATGCTGTAAATTATATCCGGAGCCTCATGAGGACAAGGGGACTCAGAAAAATACCGGGTTATAGCTTGATTGAAGTCGGAAACCAGGTTCATACATTTTTCGCCGGAGACAACTCCCATCCGAATTGGGCAGAGATATATCAGCATTTAGAGGATATAAGAGCAGCAGTGGAGGCTTCTGGTTATGTCCCGGATACAAGTTGTGTTCTTCGTGACGTGGATGAGCCAATGAAGGTCAGGTTGCTATGGGGACATAGTGAGAGATTAGCCATTGCATTCGGACTTTTAAACACGCCGGCAGGAAGCTTGATTAGGATCACCAAGAATCTGCGTGTGTGTGTTGACTGTCACAATGTGACTAAATATATATCCAAGATAGTGAGGAGGGAACTTATTGTGAGAGATGCCAATCGTTTCCATCACTTTGTCGATGGGAAATGTTCTTGCAATGATTACTGGTGATGGGGGTCGTCTTCTCGTAAAGGACTTATATTAAACGGCAACGCCAAGGTAACGGTGTTTCACACTAATCATGTGATGCCATGTATGAAATTAATCTACCTGGCTACATAGGAGTTTTGCTTTGATACAAGCATACCATTTCTTTTTTGGGGATTACGCGTTTGAGAACTTACATTTACACATTTTCCAAATCTAGATTGCAAGGCTCGACATATCATGACATGCATTATGTCGATATTTTACGAGGCTTGACATGCCCACTCCTGGTATATTATCAACTTATAAATATCTAACAGCCTAATAATATTAATCATCCATCAAATTAAATAACTAACAACCTAATTATACTAAATTGATTATCCAAGTAGGCAGTAGGCAATTTGGTTTAGTTTAAGCGATTTTTCAAAGGAAAACTAATGAAAATAGTTTGAAAGCTTTGAGTTTTAATCAAAATGACAAAAATATGTTGTAAGTGAATAGTAATAGAAGTGATTTTTTTGAGTAAAAATATCATTTTCGTTAAAAACGAATAATACTGAAAGTGTTTCGTTAAAACTCTCATTTTTTCAATAGATCAAAATGAACCAAACAAAACTAATTGCAGTTTGGTTCGATTGGTTCAAGATTTCACTTTGATAGTCTGAAAACTGAATCAAGGTGTTTTAATTGATTTGATTTGGTCGGTTTGAATGGTTGGACCTTTTTTTTCCACCACTAATTAGCAAAACAACCTGCCGCGTGACTTTAAGTCAGAGAAAGTTTTGTATATCTATGATACTTATTTTAATACAACGATATATTTTGCACTATGAAAAAGAGGAATTAGGTTAAATCACATGATAGACAACTTAATTTGGTATCAAATTCGCCATCCACAAGATTCAAATTTACGACCTCTCACTTATAAGTGAAAAATAATATTACCAGACTGTAGTACCGAATGACATTTAGAATACTTATTACATAATGTATCTTTTACGTGTTTATAATATAAGTGAATGATAGATTGATTAATACATCTCACTTATGTAATATTAATACGTGTAAGCCTAATAATTTCTTGTATGACTCATTAAAATGACATGGAAATAATAGCTTTCGGATCAACCTGTTAACATGTTAGGTCGTTATTGGGTCATCCGTTAAGAACATGTTAATTAGTCGGGTCATTATCGGGTCATCCGTTAAGATAACGAGCATGACATGAACACGACTCGCTTGTCAGGTCTAGACATTAAGCATGACAATTTTTTGCATGACTCGGTAATCCAACACGAAAATAACAAGTTTCAGATCAATCCTACAACAAATCAAGTCATTATGGAGTTACATGTTAAACAAGTTTAACACGACATAATATGTTAAGATAACACTATTACGTGAGTACGATAGAAACCCGATAAACAACACCCATTTCCTAAGTCTAATTATACGGACACGTGTTATAATTTGAATAAAAATTTAAAATAATAATAAAATATGTAACACGTGTCGGTTACACCGAAATATTGCTCATCCAAGTAGGTAGTAGGCACAGTAACTAACAAAACGGCGACGCTTGTTAGCGGTCTCCGACGTATGAAAAACACAGCTCAAAAGTGTAGAAGTGCCACTGCTCTCTCTACAGGCCCTCTGTAGATCCTTCCATCTGCGGATGATGAGTGAGAAAGTAGAGAGAGAAAATGACAGCACGGCGTGAAAAATAAAATAAATTTCCAAAACAAAAGTCCCCCACTTTACTGCCACTGTTGTATTTGTATTGCATCAAACTTTGTGCTCCGCCCTTTTTCTTCCGTCACTTTCTCGGGAAAACTCTGGGAAAATTGGATTCGGCCGCGAAGGTGAGTGGTTTTCTCTCTCTTTTGGCTCTTACCCGGATCAGGTTTCGCATTTGTTTTGATATATTTCGATTTGCTGGTTATTGTTTGTTCTTGAGCTCATTTGATTTTCGATTGGTGTTCTTGTGATTATTTTCTGATTATTTGGTATAATTGGGTCTGAGATTGGTATGGATTTGGATATTGTTGTTGGGTTAGCTCCGTTTGGTTGTTGAGAAAATTTGGGAAAAAAAATGGAAGAAAGAAGAAAAAATCGTGATTTGGAGATACTTTTCTGCTGAGAATGCTTAAGAAGGCAAAGAACTATTAATTTTTGTGGAAAAAAAATGGTTTCTTTGGATACTTTTAAGTTATTTTTGTAGTAAAAATTGAGAATTTCCATTAATTTGACGATCAATGAAAAATGGAAAGTAGTTAGCTGCTTGGTTCATTTTGTATTTCGAAGATGCAAAATGCAAGCCGAAAATGGAATTTCAGAATGACTTCTGATAGTGTTTGGAAAGAGGAAACTTACAGAGAATCGGGACCAGTTCTTTAGACGCTGCTCTCACTACGAATACCCACAAACAACTGCCTATTTGGCTTGAGTTTGCGTGAAAGGCGTGCGTTGTTAGTAATTTTGCGTTTTTCCATGGTCTTGCTGTGCCGCGAGGTTACAGCACTAATCCATTGCTTGAAAGAAATAAATTCACAAACTACGGCTATGGAATATGGTTTTAAAAAGACTTGAATTGGGATGTTTTTATTTTTGGGTATGGCTTGCTTTTCCCGGTATTTGGACAATTTTTTTATAGTTACAGTGTGGATATATTTGCAAATCGTTTTGAAACTTGAAAGCTCTTTCTCTAAATCATTGAAATCAGAACACGTTTGTAATTGTGACGTAAAATGTTGCATGTATACACAGGTATGCATAAGAACCAATTGCAAGAGTTGGCGCAGAGAAGTTGCTTCAATTTGCCATCTTATTCATGCATTCGGGAAGGACCAGATCATGCTCCTCGATTCAAAGCAACTGTCAACTTCAATGGAGATACTTTTGAAAGTCCTACATTCTGTCCTACTCTTAGACAGGCCGAGCATGCTGCAGCGGAGGTAGCATTGAACACACTTGCAAAAAGAGGCCCTTCCAGAGCACTAGCTGCAAGAGTATTGGTTAGTAGCAAAATTGTAGTACTTCTTTTAGTTTGGTGACAACAGTTTCTTTATGTGCTCAAAATTTGTTAGTTTCAGGTAGATATGTCGTGATTCTTTTTTGTTTGTTGGAGTAACAATTAATTATTTAATACTCATAACCAGTGTCCGTTGTATTTTATACGTTTGATCTGATAGTCAACGAGTGCAGATTCCTCCACCACCAAGGACAAAATTAAAATCATACCATTGAACTCTTTAAGGGAAAACTGTTCCACGACTTTGCTGTCTTCTTTTTTCCCAAAAGAAGGGTATGGTTGTGCATGTTGAAGTTGAATCATCCCTAGACCTTGCATTTGCGGGAGTTTATTGGTGACAAATTGATTAAGGTGTCGAAGAGTTTAGTTTAATGGAAAACCAGGAAGGAAAAGATGAGAAAACTGGTTAAAACTAACTAGCATTTTAAATGGAATGTCTCTTTGTTACCTTCTTGATATATTGTTTACTATTACTGTCCAGAATTTTCCCTGTTCCATCCCCTAACTTAATGCAAACTGCCACGGGAAATAGTTGTTGAATAATTATATTGTGCGTTGTGCTGCGCAGGATGAAACAGGGGTTTACAAGAACTTGCTTCAGGAGACTGCACACAGAGCTGGATTGAACCTTCCTGTTTATACAACTGTTCGATCTGGACCTGGCCATGTGCCTGTGTTCTCATGTACAGTTGAGCTAGCAGGAATGAGCTTTACCGGGCAACCGGCTAGGACAAAGAAACAAGCTCAGAAGAATGCTGCAACTGCTGCTTGGGCAGCCCTGAAAAGATGTATGCATTTTCCTGTTATCTTTCTTTTTTTCTTTCTCTTTCTTCTAATTGCACGCTAGCAAACAAGCATTTTTGCGGTTTGCCTTGAAAGATTGCATGCAGTATTTCCTTCTTTTGGCTGCTTAACAATTCAATCAATGAAATTTCCCAAATATGTATCCCATTGAAGGCCTATATATCTAATTGTTATGTTATCCATGCAGTGGCTCAACATGGCTCGTCTTCTTCCTCAGCGGAGCCTAGAGGCAATGAAGAACAGGAACAAGTCATTATTGCTCGTATTCTTGAAAGTTTGCGGCCGTCTGAGTATTAATACTCAAAATGATTGCCGACATGGACAGCAAACATACATTCCCATCTTCCAGAAATCTACCCTGCCAACACCAAGCTTATATCCTATGCAATTCCATAACTGGGGTTATTCTAATTATTCCCCTGAAATAGGAATGTACGGATTGTGGCGGGAAGAGCAACTATTACAGCAACAAAATCGCCTGCTGGCGCTTCCTATTCTACCAGTTTCTCCATCTGTTCCTCAGATATTTCCATTTATGCAATCTGTGCTTCGCCCAGATAACTGTCTATACTTTCCAGCAAGAGGGCAAGAGTCGACCTCAGCAGGACCCAGAATTACAATTGCTACCTCAGGCCCTTCATTTTGCTTCTCAAACCATTTGGTTCCTAACCCGCCGATCAGGGGCAAGTCCACGGTGACTATTCAAGAAATACAGGAAGAAAAGCCAGAAGAATCACCCACGTACTCTCCTTCTATAGTTTCAGATCCCTTTAGTCCCGCAAGCAGCGGCGCTGAACTAAGAGTCCAGGAACAAGTTCAGCATGAGAAACAGAACCTAGGAGAGTTAGAAAGCAAAATTGGAAACCTTCAGCTGGAATGCAGCAACCCAACTGGGCAATCCGGACATGCTCACCCTAGAATCGTGGATTCTAGTTTTAGGCCAGTGGACTTCAGGTTACAAAATCATCGTGGTTTCGAATCTCGTAGGCCCAATTTGAGGCCCCAAAATCCACCAAGAGTAAGTAGTGCTAGAAGTCTAAGGCCGCCATCTGCTGCAGAACCTGTAATAATCAGAACTGTAAGGCCCTCTTCTTCTCCGGGGTCTAGACCACAAAATTTTCCAAGCAGGAATCCTGCTCCGCCAAGAATGAGAACCGGGATCCCCTCATCTTCAGCCGCGCAATTGCCTGAAAGAATGCAACTGGGAGGACTACGACCTAGCTTCATGGCACCGGCTGTTCGAATTAGATCAGTTGTACCAGTTTGTTCAGCCCCACCAGCAAGAAAAATGTCAAGTTCCAGCCAGGAGAGAGTGTTACCGGAGATGGAGAAGAAGGATACTAATCAAGACGACGTGCCAAAACAAAGTTGAGAGCTTGGTAAGCTTCATTTTTAATCCAAAATTCCAAATATACATAATACAGAAGTTCTGATAGATGTGATTAGTTTATCTTGTGAGGAACCACAGCAGTTTATGAGGCGCGGAAGCCAT